AGACCGTGAGTGAGGAGATTGATTATTTATTTCTGAATTGATATTTTGAATGCTTGTAAATAGTGCTGCATCCTTTAAAACAGCTAAACTCATGGTGAGTGATATGTTTGATTGTTTAAAGGATGAGGTCAGCAGGATGAGATTTAGCAACAGATAAAAGTAGATAAACAAGTACAGGACACGATCAGCAAAGAGATAAGACGACTGCTTTGTCTACACGGGGCACCTGAAGTGACATAAACTGAAAGTTCCTCATAGGAGCTTTGATAAAGTTTTACTTCTTATTTTCTTTTAATCTCTTAATTTAGATGTGTTAATGTAGTAATACAATAACTTCCCTTGTCACATTTATGGTGGGGACATGTCGGCATTATTTGTTCAATAAGGGGGAAACACTATTTCTCCTTTAATGGTAACTTCTGGTAAAGATAGAAGATTAGTTTATGTTTAACTTTTGATCAGTGTGATAGTCATTTAAACCTTTGCTGATCCTGGGAACAAGGCCAAGTCACACACCTGTTCAATGAGTCCCAGTCTCTGCTGTTTTTATTGGGTTGTCTGGTGCTGCTGGGAACTCTGCGAGAGGTTGTAAAAAACAAAGCTAATATAATTTCTGCTGAATGTTGGGGTGTGTTCAGAGACCATAGTCTTAATGTTTGAGGTTCCTAACAAATAACACCGGCGTCATTTGTCCTTTAATATGAGCCTGAATATGATGAATATGCACAACAGGAAACAGCCTGGTGTTTGTTTACACGGCTTGATGAGCTCCGCTTTGCACCCCTAATCTATTATGTTGCCTTTATAATGAAAAAAAAAGGCCTCTATTGTTTCTCCTCTTTTAGTTAACTATAAGGTCCTTAATTAACAATATTTTAGTTCTGGCTTTCAATCAAAAGCTGTTTCACTTAGTCTGTTATGATTCAATGTGTTGAATACAAAATTATTTCAGTGAGTTCAGAGCTAAAAAAAAAAAAGGAAAGGATTGCTTTAATTTTGTGACCGCAGAAGGAGATAAATAAACCGAGTGGATCTGACAGAAAGTCTCGCTGTTGAGACGCCGCTGATCCGCAGACCACGAGCTCTGATCCTGGAGATAAAAAATGTCTTGAAAGATCAAAAAGCAAAGCACTTAAAATGCATCTCATTTAGGAGCAGCAGAGAGTTAAATCAATGGTTTTGTCAAACAGCGGGTGATTGCGGGATAAAAGGAGACCCCGATTGGGCTAGAATTACAAATGGGAGGGATCTCATTCTTGGAGGTCGATGAAACTTGAAAGTCAAACTCTTGATTGTAGCGTAAAATTGCTTAATGAATGTGCAAAGAAAAACCAACACATTTTAATTTCTTTGTGGCAAGATTGAAAAGAGAGCAGGTATCCGCTGTGCTTGGATGTTCAGGTGAGATGAAATTTTAATGATCGCCAAAGGAAACATTTATGAACGTTTAGAAGAGAGGTCAGCCAACAACCTCATATCAACACTTCTCCAAAATAAGAAGCTTAAAACTTAGAAATGCAGATCTCTTTTCCCCCTCTAACAAGAGATTATAAAAAGGAATTTACTGGAATAGTAACCTTAATTAAAGAGTTTCGTACATAGTTAAAAAGAAAATGTTTTATTGCTGTTTCACTGAGATACAGACCCCTACGTCAAAACAATCAGCATCCTTTTCTAACTCGTTGTTTTCTCTTCATGATTTTGTTGGGGGGGGGGGATGAACTCTGACACTTTAAAGATAACTTTATTCAGAATCTTGCAGGTGTCCTGGGATAAGGGGGAGGGGGGGGGGGAGGTGTGAGGTGTGTTGATTGCAGATCCAATGCAGATGAGCAGAGTGAAGAGGACAGCGTGGAAGGGGGGAAGGGACAATAAAGCAGAACAGGCACTCAGAACTCTTTGAAATAAAACTAACACACCTCATGCTGTGACAGAAAGTAGTATTAAAAATATATACACCTAATATACGAATTCAGGGTTTGTGTGGACTGCAATTTTTATTGGCTGTTTATGTGTTCTGATCAACTCTTACAATGCTATTTATTAGTTTCTAACTGTGCAGAAGTTCACTGAGTACTTCAAGTGTTTTACCGTTCTTCATCCTGCCATGAAACAAAACAAGCAATGAGGATGGTATAAATCTGAACAACACCCAGGTGTTCTTTTATCATAATCAAACAGGATTTCATAAACCTCAAAAATGTCTTCTTGTTGGCCAAGCCTTTCTCAATAGGCAGTTTCTAAATATGTAATGAAGAACATCTCCCTGATTCCAATCAAAACACTGACAGTTTGGACTGTTTGTCTTAAGCTGAATGCCACATTTCTTTGGATTTCATTTTGTATTTATCGTCTGCGGCCGTGTGTCTTTTCAATGTTTGTCGGCCATAGTTACTGTTTGCAAAGTAAACAGTGCATTGCTTCAGCTCACTGTCTGCGGTCAACAAACCATTGCCGGGCGATGCATGCAACCTGTGGCCCTCAGTTCTCATTTCTCAAAAGTGGTTGAGCCACTTGACATGACGAACACTTTGAAGTAAAAATATTCAATATTCCCTCTCTAGCCTCTGGCTTCAAATCTCATGCATTAGAGATAAATGATGTATTACTCTTTGGTGGAAATATCCTCAGATAATATTTATAGAAAGACCCACAAAGGACTTTGTTTCTTTAAATTCTTGAGTGATGTGTTTGTTATGTAGTGGTGGACACTAACAAAGTACATTTATATAGTACTGTACTCAGGTACATTTTTTGAGTATCTGAACTTTACCTGAGTTTTAGGTGTCAAGAGGCTTAAAACCCGCCTCAGCTCCAGCTCTCAACCTGTCATTAGGTTGACTGAAAGTTAGGCTGAGACAGAATTTCCAACATGGCGGCTGCTGCCAATGAGCCTCCGGAGCCCTGTGCTGCAACAGATGTGTGACGTCACTCAGGCTTGAAAACACAAAGACAGAAATGTGATGTGAAGCTGAACTAGTCAAAGAGAAAGCTGTCTGTTCGTGCAGCGTCATAATGCTCATCCACACAGGTTTAGAAAATGTGAAAAAGGAGACGAGAGCAGATTTAAATTAATGAGATGAGGAATCCTAAATGAAAGTATTCAAATGGAAATATTAGTACTAACAGTAAAAACAAAAATCTGTTTTAGAAGTTATACACTTTAGTGCATGAAGTCTCAGAGAATAAATTATCTTTATAAATGTGATTTATTTGAAGTTCTTGACACTATGGAATAAAAGATTAATCAAAAAGATTCATTTTACAGTGTGCGAGCTTTGAAGTACTTTTGCTTATTCAGCTTTTTCTTTGGAGGTATATTAACGGCTGATTGGACAAACAGCACTTTTTTTATGTCAGCAGAAATGCAATTTCCTTAAGAAGACCTTCAACATCCCGTAGAAAACATTTTGCTTATCAAAAGCTGTTCACAAATAAATGATAGTGAGCAATTGGATAAGAGAACCCGGCCTTAAAAAAAAAAAAAGAAAAGGTAAATGTCACCGTTTACTTCCCCGGAAGGCGAGCTTAATGTGAGGTCACGACGCAGTGCAGTCACATTCTGTAGGGCAGGGATACGTGAAGGCTTGCAGGGGACATCATTTGCAACATAAAGGCTAAAATAAGCAAAGACATTTTGGTGCTCAAAAGGTCTGCAACCAACGCTTGTTTTCATCATCCAAAAATACAGGTTAGCAGAGCTGGAAGTTATGTTTAAGAATAACTAACTCGGGGGTTAATTTACTCCAGGTCGGACCTGTGGCACCTGTCCTGCATGTCGTTCTCTCTCCCCGATTTATCCACTGTCCTATCTCTAAAATAAAGGTATAAAAAGCCCAAAAATCAAACTGACTCAAGTTTGACAAATGTAAATCCTACCACTAAAGGCCTGGTAATTATATAAATAATTCAAGTAATGACAATTTTAGCCAGTTTATATCAAGAGAGTTTGCATTGCATTGTTGTATCCATTTATTGTCCATTATGTTTCCTGCCTGTTTTGTTGTTCCCTTTTAGTCAGTTTGTTGGTTTTTATGATCGTTTGCTATTAAAATGTTCTCATAAAAAGAATAAATTATAAAAAAAATAATAATAATTAAACTAATGAATAGATTCTCAAATTTTAAGTGATGAGCAAATATTTGTTGGCAGAAATACAGACCACCCTCTTCTCTCTCGTCCCAGCTCGTAAATTGAACTGTCACATCACATCATCAAAAGTAGCAGAAGAAACATAGAAGAGGGGCTGTCAAATTACTATTTTTTCAGGATATTCTTATGAAACTAAAAGTTGTAGGTGTTCAAACACTTTAAATAACTTACAGTGGTTAAAAAAAAAAATCACTTTTAGGAGACGTAAGCCTCATTCACTTGTGCTTAAAACTCCTTCATCAGGGTGAGCTGCACGTGTGAACAGCTGAATTTTTCACCCCCAATATGTATTTAACAATTGTTCAGAGTTTTTTTTTTTTTTTTTTTCAGAAAATAATCCAGGACTGTGACAATGCAAATAAATCTGACTTTACGTTCCCGCGATCAGAAATGTTTAACAAGTTTCCAAAAGTGAGATTAATTCACTTGTGTTGACAAATCTGTCTATCACATCCACTCTCAATACCTTTCAGTGGGTTTTAAAGATATATTTAGAATTTAAAAGTTTTCAGGCTGAGCTGTGGAGCGCTAAAAGTAGGGCAACACACCAACGGCAAAAAACACACATAAGCACATGGGGGCCATATACTGCTCTGTAATAAGGATGTAAACTAGAGCCTGACCCATACAATCCACTGATAACAGGTCTCTGATATCTGTTTTGGCTGCGACAGAGGAAATGTATACAGCACAGCGTGTGAAACGAACACGTGAGGTATAGTTAAGAAGTGGTGGCATCATTACTGCTCAGCAGACTCCAGAGTTTATAGAGCTTTACAGCATGTGAGCCGGCAGCTGTTTAACACCCTGTCTTCAGCACATACGCACTATCTATGTCATGTCTGTTTGATAAGAACATGTGAGGCATCCCTGCTGTTTCTGATTTGGTCAGACTTTAAAAAAAAAAAACACGAGACAGAACTTTTTTCCAAATGTCTCTGAAATCTGTGATGTGAATTCGAGCAAATGACTCATTTTGATTGTTTTTAATCTTCTTTACAGTCACCAGAAAGTATGCATGTGAGATCAACCCGCCGAGAATAGAATCCTTTTGTGTCAAATATCAGCCAAGCTATTAGCAGAGTGTAGCCTGTGTCCAGCAGGGTATTTACAGTAACACATACAGCCTTATGATAAAAGGTATGTGAGTCTTCTCTGCAGGCATGTCATGCAGTACAGTAAAGCGGACTGCTTCTTTAATCATCTTCCTGATGCCACATACAGCAGCAGACCTCACACTGACACTCTCAAAGGCGCACCGACAGGCCGAGCTGCACTCTTTCATTCCCTCCCATAATTATCTGCACAACTTACAGTGTTCATCGAAACATCTTTCTGCAGCCTGGATTCATCACCTGATCCCTGTCACCTGTGTTTGGTAAGCTGGTCTATTTGTATCTCTTTTGTCTACCTTAAAGGTAAACGTGTTGAAGGCGCTGCTGGATTCTGTTCTGTGCAAGCAATCTACACAGCCACAGGTTTTGAATCGAGAAATTGCAAGAATAATGAGTGGAAAGTAGAACATTTTTAGCAGCACAACGCAGGAGTTCTGTTTCCACAGTCTTGTTAAGCCAGTTGTAACCACTAGATTATGGTGTCAAACTTAGTTCTGCCCAGAGATTGTATAGAAGATGTTTGCATATCTGCTGTGATGTCAGCCAGTGATTAGTGTGCTTTGGATTTTCAGTGACGCAATGTTGGTTTTGAAGTTTAAAGTGACTATTTTTGGGGCCAGAGGGGGGGAGCAAGAGTTTGACAAACACTAGTTATCACAACTATACTGTCTATCCCCAAAGCCTAATTCATTAGCTGGCTGATTAAACAGTTAAAAACAGTGTTTGTCACAATGAGTTTCTATTTGTGCTGGTAGCTGACTGAAGTTGTGTCTTTGTTAAACGGAAGAAGCTGTTAAGTGAAGCAATATTGTCCTTTACGTAATTGGGTGAATTGATGCATCCATGCCCCTAATTATACATCAATTCAAGCCTTAATATAATTTAAAGAATCTTTTGCATATTACAATAAGCCAGTGCCTGTACAGTTGTCATAAACAATGAGATAAGTTAAAGAGACTGAAGAAAGCTGCAGTCAAGCTTACCTCTGCTGTAAAGCCAGGCATTTTGGGGGTCTATGGGGGACACTTGACTGACTTCTAGAGCCAGACAAAAGTGGCCATTACAGGTACTGCAGTTTTTGCACTTCACTTGACTGCCTCATGGTGCGGACACGCTGCATAAAAACAGTTCGCCCAGCTCTGCTGCTCAATCATTTTTCTTGAACTGAAGAGTCTTTTCAATAAAAACTCTATAAGGTATGTTTACCTAACCGTATACAGAATATCATATATACAGAGTATATTTTTTGTTTTTTTACAGATTTCTCCCTCTTATCTAATTCATACAAAGAAAAAGTGTTGCCCCCAGACTGGTTTGCACTGCGAGGTACCCAGCATGCTTTGCAAGTAGCTCACAGCATGGACCAGGCTCGCATCAATGACCATAACGGCTCCTTTTCTACCTCCTCATGTCAAAATCATCCATACATCCCAGACTTGTTGGAGTGGAATTCTGGCGCCTACATGACTCGTTCTTCTGATTGGCTCGTTCTTAAAGTCCCTCGAGCTTTCACTAAACTCTGTAAATCTGGATTTTCTTTTGATGCCTGAATTTCATGGAACGCCCTCCAACAAACATTAAGGATCGGAGTTCTTCCCTCTATTGCAGAGATAGGGAGTTTTATTTCTAGACACTTTGTTTGAAAATGTAACAGTTATTAATGGATCTCAGTGGTTTCTGTAAGCAATTTGAAGTGTTTGCTGTTGTTTTTGCTTGTTTTATTGTGCTTGTAATCTCAGCGCATTGGAAATGAGGGAAACCTCAGCGTCCTTTTGAGAATAAATAAAGGTTTGAAATGAAATGAAGCAAGTGGGGGGGCATGAACTCGTACAAACGAGGAGCTTGTACAACAAAAGGCCTGAACACCATTTTATTTAAAGTTCACTCCTCTCTAGGTTCTTTCTTTTTCTGTTCTTGGCTCATTTTCTCTGCATCTTTAATAACTCGTACATCTGCTCTCTTTTATACAATCATCTTTCTTTTTTCTGCTGAGTGCAGATTTTTAACTCTAACACATTGCTTAATTATGAGAAGAGCTATCAGAGTTGCAGTTTGGAGAAAAGTGTGCTTTCTTTGAACTTCTCACAGATGAAGACAGATGAGTGGTCCTGTTGGTACCGTGTAGGTGTGAAGTTGAATGCCAGTAGGTATATGCGGGTGTGAAATGCACTTTCATTTCACTGCAGTCCACTGTGGGCCCACATAGCAGTACACACTGAATCATTTTTTTTACATTGTTGTATTTCAATGCCACAAAGGATGATAAAGAAAAAGACTTTAAATGCTACATTGATACGAAAAATAACCTAAGGTTTGTTCCAGATTTATTTGACAGAGAAATCCAGTGAAGGAGTCTGTCTGAAATAAAAGAGAAAGCATGGTAACGATATGAAACACAACATGATACGCTCCATTGAAACAACTAAAGATTAGAATAAAACTGAAACTCTTTGAAGTGATGGTGTTTGATATGTTTCCCTGAAGGCAGCGGCTCACCTTTTAGCATCTACAAACAGGCTCGTGACAACAGGGGATTTCCTTGTTGTTGCACACGGATATATGGTTGTTGTTTTTTTCTTCCCTGTGTGGGTTTTTTATTTGTATGGGTTGGACTACAGAGAAAGAATTACATTGCCTATGGCTGGCTCTTCAAAAAAAACAGCACATGCCATCAAAGTTGCACAGATGGTGAAGGCCTTGAAGAGAGAAAAAAAAATGGTGGAGAGTGATCAATAGATAACCTCAGAAGGCCTCTCACATGGCTCCCCCTGGTGGGATGACAAGGACTGTGGCAGTTTCAGAGTATGATTTGCATTTAACACACTTGCATGTAGAGCGGTTTACTGTTACCGAACTGTTGGGGATTCACTGTCCTGCTCAAGGACATTTTGACTGCAGAGATGGCTGGCACAGACTGCAGCTATAAACTCAAGGTCATGCTGTCACACTCTAAAATGTTGCAGCGTTTTTTGCAGCAGCCTGTGTGCACAGTTTAATCATACAGTTTGTTTCATTCGTACACATCTGAGAATCCTATTCATGTGACATTTCACTAAAGGAGGTGCACACAGGCAGAGGTTTGGGGTCTTGCTCAAGGACACTTTGACAGAGATGGACACATGGATCTCAGAGGACCTACCAGTTCATTACAATGACGATATGGACTTATGAGGACTATCATGCCTGACCTCTTTCTTTTCCCTCGGTGGTGGAGATATATAGCCACCACTGCAGTGAACAAAAGAAAGGCAGCGTCATGAATTTTTTATTCACTTAGTTAAGAAATAGAGCTAAACTCCATCTGGAACCCTGTATATGTTATTTCAAACTATAAATGCAAAATAAGAAAAATATGCGAGCCTGCTGAGATGGACTGAATTTATATTAAAATTGGATTAGGATTATATTGGCCATCTTGCGGTATTAAGTTTTTCTGTGAAAATCGAATGCATTCTCCGGAGTAAAATCAACATTTTCTCCCTGCACACTTGAGTCAGGAAAGCTCTCTGCTGCAGTTTGACACACAGAGAAACGAGCATTCATCAATGCAAAAAAAAAAAAAAAAAAAGCCCTATTTGCACACACGCACTTGAGTTATGTTTGAGTTTAATTTATGCCTCCAAAGGGATGCGTAAACAATTACAATTACTTGCGGCAGTCACAGTAAATCATGTTAAATCAGTATACTAAAACAACACGGGCGGATTTACATGCAAATTGGCCCCGAGAAGGTGGCCACATCAGCGTTTGAGGTTTACGGTGTTGTGTACAGAGAGTGTGGCAATTTAAGTTGTTTAGGCCGTAAACAAAACACTTCACTCCATAGACAGCAGGAGCAGTAAAGAATAAAAAGCGCTGCTTTTATAAAAACTGCTCCAAACTTTTCATAAATCACAGCTTTCATGTGTAACTGCAACGCAATGCCATAACCTTTTCTAGCACCAGGTACTCAAATGCACTCCATCTCCACTCATTACAGTGCTAGACGAGCGTGAAGTGTCTCCAATAGTGAGCAGCAGGACTGTTCATCAGAGGTGACGTACAAGTGGGAGCAGGGGATTGGGAGACTGATGAAGCTGTGATCCAAACACACGCTCCGCACCTCCACAACAAGCCCAAGGAACAGATTCATCTGACGAGAATCAACAGCAGCACCCGGTGTACACATGCGCCATGCATAATTAGCACTAAAGACACAGTGTGCAGGAATATATGCTCAGACTGCAAACAGCTCTGCGATTCAGGGCAGCAGCAGAATAAATAGGTGCTTCTGTTGGTTTGTTGTCAACAGGCATGAAGAGGGATTTAAATCCGAAAAAAAAAGGATCTTCATGTTTGGAAAGATGTGTTTACTTTGAATGTAGAGGCCAAACTTAGTCAGGATTGTTGCAATCTGAAGTGGAAAGTCTATACAAGTGACGCACTGTCGCTGTGATAACAAAACGCAGACAATGAGCAAAGTCATTGTAGACCCAGGTTAGAAGCAGACACAGATAATTATATGAAATATTTTATTGCTGATAAAAAGAGACCCTTGAAAGTTGAAACAATTGTTAAAGTCCAAACGATGTACAAATCCTTCCTGAGGAGCAAAAATACAACACAGTGCTTAATGCTTATAGCACCTCACATGAATAATACACATCTGAACAAACTTATAACAAGCATTTATTTTCCCCAAAAAATGGCAATGTTTTTAAAGCGGTACAGTACAACCAATGCTCCAGATGTTTGGTGGGAGCTGGAAAATGTGTTGGCACTGATTTATGACTTTTTTCAAAAAGATATAGCTAGAATGACTGAAAACTTTTTTGTTTTTCTTGATGTCAACAAGAGCACCTCAGCATATTTTTACTTCCATACATGGTTTGCAGGAAGTAGCCAGTGTGTTCCTCTAAAGACACAAATTGAAAAAAAAAGTTTACATTTCTGTAACAGTGTATTGTAGTGTTTAGAAAATGTAACTCACACTGCAATAAAAAGTAAAAATGGTCTCAAACAAATGCAAAGAAGGATGAAGACACATTTGGTTCCCTTGTAAGAATTGACTGTAGATGAATAAAGTATATGTGTGACTTTAATAAACTACCTTGGCCACATGAAATGTAGCCCAGTTTCAGTATGTTTCATAATTATTTACATATTTAAGTTTATGGAGTGCAATGGAGTGCAATGGCTGGATAGGAATATCACCTTTTGGCTGCAAAGACAAAGCCTGTTAGTAAGATCAAGTCATTGTAAGCTTTGGTCTTGTGATGGGATTTGTTTTAAAATGTTTGAAATGGAAACTGTAGAAATGATCATCACATCACAACATGAATTTGGCCAAACGTGTTCATTAATTATAAAACAGATTTAAAATGATGCAACATGAATAACCCAATTCAGAAAAACTCCCCTGAGATTAAAAAGAAATAAAAAAAATCCCACAAACATTATAAACCATTAAAACATAATGTGCAAAATGAATAATGACATTGCCCCGTACTTGGGTCTGTGACACAGTGCAGACAGTAAATTGTTCCTCTCTGCTTTTTCAGCAGAATGCGTGGCAGCTCAGGTCTTTGTGCTGACCTCATTCATGCGCGGGTGTGATTATTTTCCAAGTCGTTTAAGTCACATAAAAGCATTTAATTAATAAGCGCCCATCCATTCGTGGGATCCCCTTCATAGTTAGCTGAGCATTACTTCTCAGCGCCACTGAGGCGAATCCCCTTAATTGAGTGGTGTCATGAGAGGCATCTGTAAACAGCAGGCACAAAATAAATAGTTCCATGTCCATGAGGACCGCCCCTACGGCTAATTTCTTCTTTCATAATTGTCAATGTTCCCGGGGGGGAGAGAGTGGGGGGGGGGACCGAATGAGTCCCCTCTCATTTAGTCTCTGTCACTATTAGATTTTCTTAAGTGTTAGATACTCAGATATATTCATGTGAGCACCTCAAGTGCATTTTGTCAAGGTGGTGTTGTTTAGTTTTCATGATGAATGGCGGAGCGGATGTGAGCTTGGTCAAGAGCTATGGATCACTGAGCTTGTCTTCTCTGAGCAGCCTCCTGGCAAAGTTTGATGCATGACCTGTGCCGTGCAAGTCAAAATAGAACAATACATGTGGGTCTAGGCTGCCCTGTGTGTGTGTGTGTGTGTGTGTGTGTGTGTGTGTGTGTGTGTGTGTGTGTGTGTGTGTGTGTGTGTGTGTGTGTGTGTGTGTGTGTGTGTGTGTGTGTTTAGAGAGAGGATGTAGCCTGGGGAGTGTTTTGTATAAATATCTATCAGCATCATAAATTTAATTTAGAACATTTTTACAAAGGCCTAGTTCTTTAAGATAATTTGTCTTTTCTTTTTAAGGAAGAAAGCCTGTTTACCAAAATAGTTTCATTCCATCATCCCCACAGGAGACATGTTCATTTCTTTTATACAGAAATCTGACTTTAGTACTTAGATACCATGCCATGACAGCTATTTTAAGTGCAGAACCTTGTGCAGTCAGTCTTGCTTGGTGGTATATTGGATCACGTCTGTCAGCTGTTTGTTTGTGTCACAGGATGTGGGACAGTCGCGGAGTGTAGTCTGCTGACATCTGTCATCATCCCGGTCTCCCTCTGTGAGCCTGTTGCTGGAAAGACACAACAAGCCCTTCATTGCCAACATGTCATGCAGAGGAAGAGGCTGAACCTCTCACACACAATGCTTCTTTGAAAGAAAGAGAGAAAAAAAAAAACGCCACTGTGTCACAAACACTCAAGGCTAAATAGATTTTTATGGCAACGAGATGACTGTCAATCGTGAAAATGTAGGATCCAAGTGCTGTCAAGCTATCCTCAAAAAAGAAAAACCGTAGACAAACGCAGACACTGGTGAGGAGACGGTGAAGGTGGAAGCGTGGAAATGTGCAAGACATGACAGACTTCAAGTGCACTTCTAAGAGAGAAAAATGTGCTGGAAATCTTTCAAATCAATGCACGTGGCGTCCTTTAGCTACACTTTTAATCCTTCAAACTGCATCTCCCTCACCTGTCGTGGGTGGGTTGGGTGGCCATGGTGCCCGTGGATGTGTGCACGCTTGTGTGCGCCAGCATGGTGATGATGGTTACCGGGCATCGTGGCGTGATGGTGCCGCGCATTGTGACGCTGCTGCTCATGCAGATGTCTTTGAGCCACAGGTATGTTGACAGGAGGTTTTGGGGGCTTGGGGCCTATAGCTGGAGATATGTGCTGGGTGTGTTTCTTGGGCATTGTTTGGAATTGAGTGAGGGGGATCACAGGTGGAGGAATCGGTGCAGTAGGGACCTGCGCCTGTGGTCCGGGGTGTAGCAGGGCGGCCTGGGTTTGTTGTCTCCGGTTATCAAATGTCTGAGCCCTCTGAGCGTGGGCAGTAAGTGCAGCCTGGGTGAGGATACTTTGGGCAGGGGGGTTCAGGTTTGGAGCGGTGCCTCCTTGGCGAGGTGGGTTGGCTGCTTGTGTGACAGGCTGCGTCTGCGTGCCCAGACCTCGCATTGTTTGTTGGAGCGGTTCTGCTCTGTGCTGCGGGGCCATGTGTGCCTGTGGAAGGTGATTAGGATCAGCCAAAGCTCTTGTATCTGCACCGTGCAGAGCTGCGAGTCCCTGTTGTGTCATCAGTCCTTGTGACACAGCAGAGCGGCCCAAAGCGGGCTTCTGGTTCATGAGAGGGATAGCCTGGGGGTTATTGCTGCCGGTGGCTTCCTGCCTGGGGGCCGGCTGGCTACCGAGAGACGCTCTGATGTCTCGCTGAGCACCCTCCCTTTGAGTGCGGGGGCTCCTCGGTGTGTGGCGAGCGGTCTCAAGCTGTGTTACGCTGCGAGAGTCTGGCGCTCGCTGATCAGCTGAACGGCTGCGTGTTTGTCTGGCTGCTGATGCAGCATCTTGTCTGCGGGGAGGGGTCCGACTCCGAGGCCTCGGCTGAGATCTGTTCTGCGTTCTTGCCTCTGGAATGGGAGGGTGGTAGGTGTAGTCTGTAGAGTCAGGGGAGGTCTGTCCTCTTCGAAAGCTTGGATAGGCCGGTGTCCCTCGGAGGCGATCCCACGGCATCTGTGTCTGTGAGGAGGAGCTGTCAGAGGGATCATGGGTACCCGAGACTCCAGCAGACCTGTGTTGAGGCTCTGGCGCCTGCGTGTACGTCTGTGTGTTTGCATTTCGTTGAGAAGCGCTGTTACTGTTAACGTGTGTGAATCCAGTTGGTATAAGTGCAGGCTGATCCTGCTGACCTGTGTCTATGTGACCGTTCAGCCGCGGGTCACTCAGAAATGACCGCCCGCTTTCCATTCTAGGATTTAAAAGCACTCTTTCTATTAAGCCTTGTTCCATTTGTGCAGCGTTATTATTGGCTGCATTTGTAACAGGAACTGAGGTGTCCGGCTGAGTCTGCTGGTTGTTGGTTGGGTATGAGTTAACATTGACATGAATGGTCGGCACTTGTGCGTTGTTGTTCTGCAGGGCGTTTTGGGGCGGCGTGTTCAGGTTGACGTGGACGGCCGGCTGCTGGGCACCGCCCTGTATGACAACGTTTGGATTCTGCTGCTGCTGTGTGTTCGGGTGCGTGCTTATATTTGGAGCATCAGCCTGCGTGAATGCCGGGTTGTCGAATCCATTGTGTTGGAATGAATCACTGTTCTGAATAGAATTGTGTCGGAGTCTATTTGTGTCTGTGCGTCCATTGTGTCGGTGTGTGTTGGAGTTTTGCAGCCTGTTGAGCTCTAGTGTCTGTGGGTTGCTGCGGTTTTCGCGTGCGTCCGTGTGGAGTCGGTCAGGGCGGCGTGCTCGTGTGTTTGTGTAGTAGAGGGGGGGTTGGGGACCTTGGCCCAAATCCCTTGTATTATTAGGTTGTGGATCTGGAGGCTTTAATGGGACAAGATGAAAAATGAGGGAAGAGAGAGGAGAGACAGCAAGAGAAGGATGAAGTGTGAGGGTTAATTTGTGAAATGCACCAACACATGGACAAGATAAACACAAAATCAATAGTGAATCATATGAAAACTTTACTGCGGCTTACTACAGGCCTGGGATTTGGGTTGGACTTCGGCGCAAGCACAGTTTCCCTTTGCTGCGCTGTAATAGAAATAACAAAAACAATTTATCACTATAGCACAAGATAACATGCTTGGGCTCTTATGTAGAGCTTAAATGGACAATGGCATAATTAAAAAGCCAATCAAGTTTCCCTTGGGATAAATAAAGTTATATCTTATCTTTCTAAAGTGTTCGACTCAACAAAACATACAATGAATGGACAAACAAAATGTCCATGACGGCACACACGGACTTACCCCTCCTCCTTCGCACGAGATAGACAATGAGCCAGATGAGGAGCGCGATGATTAAGATCAGCAGCAAACAGCCAATCACAATCCCCACCACTTCTCCAACATCGAGACATATGTCTGAAAGAGAAAGACTGGTGTCAAAAGGGGGGGGGGCAATTAATAAAGATAATGAGTCTGGAACAGAGACAGACGAACGATAGAGGAGGGAGGGGATGATTCTTAAAAACGATGATAGAGTAAAAACAGTAAGAGAGAGAGAGAGAGAGAGAGAGAGAGGGGGAAGAGAGAGAAATAAAAATAAAAGGAGAAGAGAGAGTGTGTGTGAATGTCACTGGATGACTTTGACCACGTTCCCACTAGATCAATCTCCCCGGATACTTTGTCTCTCTCCTGTCGTGAAGACGGATACAGGGAGGGAGTCCAAAACCAACCGTCATCATAATCAGTCACAGAGAGGTCCGCATCCTCCATAACTCACCTACGATGTTCAGGACTGTGCTCTGCTCGGACGTGGCCGCCGAGATGCTGTTCCTGGCCGTGCAAACGAAGCGGCCGCTCTCGTCGGTCGAGAAGGTCTGAAGGCTGAGCACCCCGCTGTCCGGCTGATCGGCTGCAACCGTCTGTCCATCACGTTGCCATGAGAACAGGGCAGGGGGCAGCGATTCGGACAAGCAGGTGAGACGCGCCGTCTGCCCGACCAGCACATCTCCTGTCCCAACACAGTCTTTAGGGCTCTCCTTGGTCAGCACGGGGGTGTCAGGGCCATCTGGTTCGGTAAAGATAAGAGGACGCTGATGTCAGAATGGAAAACGTTTGATCAACAAGCACAACAAAATCTGTATCCCAAAAAAAAAAAAAGCTGATTCTAAAGCTCATATTATGAATTCAGCCAAAGGGTTTATCTGTTTGACAATATCAGGTTTAAATCATCTCACCCGGTTAAACCATTTTTGAAAGGCCCCCTGATCTCGTCGGCTTAATGCTCAGGTGGCGCTCTGCTATGTCTGGTTAAAAAGTTAAACCTAAATCACACCAACTGCCACATTTTTGATGAACATGTGTCTCAACACGTCATGGTAACAGAAGAGCTTGAGGGGCAGTGTGCATTAAAAATCATTCACAGAGGGTGAAGAAAATACTGACTAATAAGAAGACACTTAAATTTACTACAGGCTGCTCGTTCAAGACAGTGCAGTCTGGGTTTGAGTTAGTCTACTCTATTTTTTAATACACTACTATCACTTTTATTAAAAAGATCCTAAACCTGAACTTTAAGCTATGACATATACAAAAGTACAGCTGCTTCATTGAAAGGTATTTTGACGGGGGGGGGGAAGTATACTGTTTGCTAACTACCTGTATTCTCTATTGGTTACAGCAACACATTACAAAATCCTGCCTAGAAAAAAGTACAGCACATATCCCCCTGGAAACCACAAACACTCTTTGTGGATGTCACTGGTGTAAAGACTCAAGTTCAATCAAACCCAATATTTATCTAATTAGCCGGAGGAAGCGAGAATCAAACAATCCCTGGTATGACTGTATCCAGGATTCATGCTTTTGAATACATTCAATTACATTTGTAGAAGAGCTTACACTTTTGGCAGTCATACATCCAGCAGATTCTGCCAATAACTACCAATGATGTCATTGTGCCATTGGGTAATTGGCTGTGTTTGGATTGCACTGTTTGAGCCTGTCGCATCAGAAATATGGACGTGATCAAGTCTAAGCTAGAAGCAGCACAATAAGCTTATAGAAAGATGTCCACTGCAAATGAAGTCGTATTCAGCCTACTGTACGGTGGATAATAGATAAGCTAGTGCTGTTTGCAGGGGCTGGAGCAGATTAGCTGCCACTTGTCTTGATCAGTGTAACTCACAGTAGACAGTGAGGCTCTGTGTGGCCGTTTGGGCGCTGACAAGGTTTCTGACAGTACACGTGTACTCCCCAGTATCCCCCCGCCTGGCAGGGTTGATGACCAGAGAGCCGTCTGTGATGGTGATCCGGGAGTCAGCGGTGATGGTTTCCCCTCCTTTCCCCCACTGGAATTCACTTTCTGTCCCAGCAGTCTGCGTGCACCGCAGAGACACATTTCTTCCTTCCACTGCTACCGAGGGAATCTGCAGGCTCACCCCGGTCACTGCATCTACAGAGAGACAAAAAAACGGCTTTAGCGCAAGGCAGAGTTGCAGAGAAAAGGTCTGTGACAGCGCTAATCCTCTGGAGAATGAGAGTGAGAGATAAAAGTTGGAGTGACAGAACAATAGAGGGCAGTTTTTATGATTCTGTTGAGGATAATTTGTTGTAATCAAAGCAAGTGAGCGCTGAGAAGGGACTGGATTTCAGATAGAGGCACAGATGGTGAGTAAGGGGGCAGGCGGTGTGAGTGGTAGCCGAGATGCCTCTTGGCGGGCCGCCCAAGTCAAATAATTGCAGAGGTAGAGGATGGGGGCGTGAGGAGAGAGGCGGATGTGACTAAGATAGGACCTCAGTGGCAACCAAAACATTTAAGCACAAAACCAAAATGGCTCTAATCACTTGTTGTTAACTCTTTCCTGTGACTCAGAAGAATTTGTATTTTAGGATTTTAGGCTGTGAGATAGGAGTGGGAGGTTGAGAGCCATGCTCGATGACGCGAATATTCCATGATATAAACTAGCTGTTGTCAGTTTGGAGGATGTGACTTTTTGAGCAACAATAGAATAGTGCTTCTAACAATTTGGTCACTCTTGAACGCCATTATTGTCATTGTAAGAGGGATGAGAAAGACGGAACGTAATCCCTCAAGTGTGGGCTACACATAAAGAGACACACTCAGCTGCTCAGGCTCCATTACATCGCTGAATATAAACAGATGCAGAAACTGTATGTACTGTATGTGATGCGTTTTTCAGACTACTTCAAAATCAGACATGTAAGAGCATGAGAGCTGCATTTCAAATGAGTTTTAATTAGCATAAAGCCTTGAGCCTGCAGCTCCATCCCCTCCTTTTTTTCATTAATTTTCCCTCGCCTACGATGGGTCACTAATTTCATTACACCTCCCAGACTAATTCTCTCACTCCCCAAATCCTCCCTCTCCTCGCTTTACTCCCTTCTGTTCCTCCTTAACATTATCACCTCCCTTTAAACCTCCCTCTCTTGCACACTTCACCACCTCTCCCCTCCTTCCCCACTCATCCTCCTTTTCTTCTCACTTCTTTATCTCTTACCAAACACCCGCACTTGTACGGATCCGGAGTTAGAAACTAGTCCTGCTGTATCCAAGGGATCCACCTCCACCGCGTAGTTCCCGGCGTCGCGGAGCTGGGCCCCTCCAATTCTCAGCTGGGTGGCAGTGATGGTGACCCGACCCTGGAACTGGGTCACCGTGTTAATCGTCGGGTTCCCTCCGGCCCACAGTCCCAGAGTGACTCCCTGGTACACCCATTTCACTGATAGGACGTCGGGCACAGTTAAAACTGTTAACACGATCTCAGTGCCGGATTGGACCAGAACCGGGGACGTCTGGAACTGGATCTGGACAGGGTTTTGAGCCACAACATTGACAGTGTGGAGGACTAGACGGGATAGAAACGGAGAGAGAATCAGGGATGGACAGAAACTAAGTACATCCAGTCAAGTACAATTTGAGGTCAACTTGGAGCTAGATGTTTATTTTTTAAGTGGTCTAAATGACAAAACAATTTTTGAATGATATGAATTGTTTGAGAAATATATTTAAAGTGATGGGAGTCACACTGACTCCATCTATGTAAAACGTTGTTCTTGTACATCCCATGACTGAATCCTCTTAGTCTAATTATAGCAAAGTGGGGATAAGATTTATATGATAAGACATCATTTAGGGGTTTTCTATTGTTAAGGTCTAATTTCAGATCTCACACTTGTCTTAGATCAAGACAATTTAAAGACTCCAACCGTGACAGACATAAACACACCGGCAAATAATGAACCCATGCTCAGTAGCCGATGTTTATTTGTTGTGCCAAATCAATTTCATTCTTGCTTCTAGTACACTCAAGTACTGATTAAGAGAATTTGATTTTTTAATTGGGCAGAGAAAGTCACCTGTTGAACAAACTGACTTGATTCTATTGTCAAAAAAATGAGAGAAAATGGTGGCATTGTGGGAGTCGTACACCAAAAGAAGTCATGAACAGACATCGGAATCGAATCAGCAATCGGCTAAATTGTTATTTCAAACTTTGGCCCTGATTTTCCCAATAGGTGCATCTCTAATCTATTTTAATGCCTCTGAGTTGTAAGAGTTCCTGAATACAATATGCATCAAGCTTCTCTAACGATTATTTTTAAATGAATGTGTGGGACCTTTTACTTAAGCAAAGGATGTAAGAAACTTCTTTCACAAGTGCAGAGAACAAAATCTATAAATGCACACAGAGGGTAAGAAGCTATTAGTAAGGTCCACACTCTTTCTCCCTCGTATACTCCACGCCATGTTTTTTGGACTTTAAAAGGATCCCAAGCTAAACATATATTTTGTGTTTCTGTGAACCTGAAGATTCAGTGTTGTAAATGCAATTTTCCTAAACAATCGTGTGAAGAACCATTGATTTTTCACATTCAGGCATTTAAATGCTGTATGCAGTTTGTCTATTTGTAGTCTGTATGTAAATGAAGACGGGGAAACGTTCTGTTTTTGTATTTGTCTGCCAGTCCTCCCTCTTGTTTGTGTGACTTTTTTTTGTGTGTGTGTGTGTGGTATTACAGTTTCAAACAAAGTAAAACCCAGGCTGGATTTCAATATTCTTGTGCCGGCACATAAAGCGACCACACAAGAACTCTCTGGCCAATAAATTACAGTGAATCAAATCAATATGGTCCTGATCAGTCTCGCTGGACTGCTTTTACACAGTTTTCACCGGGGAGCGGAGTATAAAATGACAGGAGCCGACAGTGAGATGGATTACATTTAGGCTCTCAGGACAAGGATTTCAATGCCTGATTAAAAATATCAATAGCTGTTTTTCTTTTTCTGCAGAGACAGAAAGAGGCATGAGTCAGAAATGAGTAACACCCAGGAGTGACGCAGCACAGTATCGATGCCTTCATGAGCCGATTACCACAACACAAGCACATTACAAATAAAGAGTGATATGAGTGTAAGAGTCAAGATTAGACATGCACCAATTGGGATAATCATGGCCGATGGCGATACCGATGTGTGAAATAATAATTAAGCCGATTGCCGATCCAATACCAACGTTTGTTTCATGACTTCTTTTGGTTTACGACTCCTACAACACTTTCTCTCACGTTGGAAACCAAGTCAGAGTTTGTCCAACAGGTGACTTCATCTGCCCAATACACAAACATGTTCTCTGAATCAGCAGTGAGGTGAACTAGATGTCAACATTAATTGATTTGGCACAGCAAATAAACAGTGGCTGCTGACATCAGTGCATGCCACATTATTTGCCGATATGCCGATATCTGTCAGCAAGGCCAAGGATACTGATGTTGAACCAATGCATCAATGCATCTCTACAACTATGCAGTGGAGTTTCATAACTAGCTTGCAACACAAGTAAAGGAAGGAATTAGAAATTGTTGAAACGTTTGAAATGCTGGAAGTTCTTGAAAATCTTCCAAACAACGAGGCAGTTTCTGTTGATTTGTCATTTATAGTGAATGTAGCTGTGATTGATGTTGTTTGTACTTTAATTAATAAGCTGTTTGTGCTAATTGTTTTGTCACAATGTAAACAGCGGATCCCATGAAGAGCTACTTCTAGCTTTAGCTGGAGATAAAGGAGACCCCAAATAAACAAACAAACCATGTAAAATACCAGGCAATTTCAAAAGGTTTTAGAAAGTGTACACACCGAATAATGCACACCGTTTCAATTATGTTTGGGGTATGAAAAGCAGAATGACTCATTCAAAATAAACTACAAGCACCCACTTTGTTGATGTCTCATGTCCTCTAATGTGTGCTTTGGTGATTTTAGAAACTAATATATGTCTAGCACAGACGAATAACAGAAATCAGGCTTAAGATAAACGGAAAATACTTGTAAAATATATATATTTTTAAATATATAGAGAATTATCAGACTTGTGTGTAAAATTTTGCATTGTGTTTTCTAGTGCAGAGATTTTTTAATTCTCCTGTAAGTTAATTAAATGTGTTTTTTCCTTTTTCATTATTTTGTAACCTCCACTAATTATTATAACGAGCCTGTTTAATGTCAAATTACCATAAACAATAGCCAAGTATCGGTATAAAAGGTAGGCCTATTGTTTATGCATGAATGACACATTTACCTGCCATCACTGCATTAACAAAAACTGCCCATCCCTATAAGCAAAACACTAAACGGCAAACAGACAAATATAAAAAAAAAAAACATTAATCCCTGTCAGTCTGCGTCAGATCGAGAAGTCACATGTAGGAGCCTGGGAGGAGTCCGTGAAGGCACCACCTCTCTCAGCAGGCAGGGCACAGAGATGGGAATGCAGCCTCGCAGGTTTAAGAGCGGTTAAGACGAGCGATCTGCTTGAAATGCAATTGTTTTAAAAACGTGCCCGGCATACCGCTGCGCCTCTTCCCTGACCTGTTTTATTTCCCACAGTACAGACTCGACTGAAACTCTGCTTTTGTTTGAACTGTTTGAACGCAGCTGTCGGGGCAGGAGGAGAGAGAAGCTGTCAGTACAAATAATGTTTTTACCTGCCAGCAACAGGCTGATAAGGAGCAGAGGGTGTCTCATGTCGTCAGTCAGGCCAGTCTGTGGAGAAATTAAACTCTTTTATATGAGAAGAAAACAAAAAAAAACGTGTGTTACATAATTTAAATTATTATTATTTTTTAACATTTTCAAAGTAGTATCTAAAACACAGGCTGTACAGAAGCTAGATTAACTTATCACTGTGCTAGCTGACAAAACAAAGGTAGAACAAAAAACCCAGGAGGCTTACCAAAGTATTTTCCTTCTGCCTTCATGTTAACTTTATGTTGGAATAATCCTCCCAATGGGTTGTGTTTGTTGACTAATGCATCCACTTCCTGTTTCTCCACAATTACCTGTCAAGGACGCACCTGTTCTCTTAAAGGGACAGCATCCCTTTTGTCCGCAACACTGGAGACTAACAGGTGGTGGAAAGTGCGAGGTAAACCTACACACGTATACATTTCAGCTTCAGACGCTTTTTAGTCATTACTGTAAGCCTACATTAATACTTAAATTCAGATTCAGATGTTAGCAAACATGAATAAGCCTACTTTGGATTTTACACAATAAAATGATTCATGTAGATTTTACTCTCCTTAAATTCGCTAAACCTTGACCAGCTTCAGCATTATGTTGCTGCTTAATGAGTGATATTAATTGTTAACAATGTAATATGTGCTGTCTACTGTCACTACTTTTCTTTTTATAGTGTTGATGCAGAAACTATCCACATCCGTAGATAAACTAGTAAGTAAAGATGCCATAAAATAAGTGTAAAGGAATGTAAAACATGAATTTAAATACATGTAGTAGAAATGTCTTACAGTTTCTATTTATGCATGTTGCTTTAATTATGTTTCTTTCCACTCCTGTGTTTGATGATAACGTTTGTGTAAGCCCCGCCACACTTCTACAATTCCCAATTCCCAGCAGACGCCTCTATCCAAAGCGACGTACATCAGAGAGGAAGTACAACACAAGCAAGGAGCTACAAAAGAGGAAACAATGTCAGTAAGTGCAAACGATCAGCTTTGAGTCTGATCAGACACACAGGTGCTGACAGGCATTGCACAGAGGCAAAGCACAACATTGACGGCAGTTCTTGAGAGCTCTAGTAATCAATATAGAAACCATCTTAAATTCGCCGTGATCAAACTAAAACATCTTCATTGTGCCGATCTATAGAAGCTAATAACAACCGACACATTAACCTAATAAAGTGACCCGAAAGAACCAAGAGATTTTTTTGGTATAGACAAGCTCAATCATTAAACAAAGATCAACTCAAACACTAATTCAGCAGAACACAACAACCCCACAACCCCTGACTGAGCGTCACAGCAGTCCCTACTCCAAAAGTCTCTCTCCTCCTGAACTCAGCTCTGGGCTTTAAAGCACTGAGGCCAGGCGCACCTCATTACTCAGTAAGTGAGCAGTAACTTCACCTGGGCAGAGCTGGAGACAACAGTAGGGGAGAAGGGACAAACAGCAAAAGGACGCATACATACATATTTGAAACTGAGGAGTGAATACCAAAAGAAAATGTTTTTTTACACTCAAATAGTACAAAGACTTTTCAAGAGCAGCAGAAGTTAATAATGAGCTTGATTTTACTATTTTTTCTTGTCATTTCCAATTAAAAGGGTTGTTAGATCAATGAAATGGAGAAACAATAAACTGATAGACCTTGTTCTGCACTGTATATATCCCATTTGGGAAATTATGAAACTTTTATTTTCCCAACATGTTGATTGTCTTACTTTTGACAGTGCCGTCTGAAGGTCATTTCATTTCCCCCCCCCATGTCAGAGTTACAGTGAAGATATAATCTCTCCAAAAAGATGAATATGTTATTTTGGGTAACAACATCTTAATGCATCCTTAAATGTGTTCACTTGTGCATTAACACTGATTAAAGTGACGCAAAACTAGACATAAATGATGTGGCACATGGATCCAGAAGCTTGTTATGCTGTCTGCTGAGTCTTAAGTGAGAGCTGAATGTTGACATTATTCGGCTGATGTATTAGTGCCACCCACTGGCTAATTCCTGCTAACAGCACTTGTCTGTAGACAAAGAGCACAGTGGGAGCCACAGCTGTGTTTCCCATGATTATTCATAAACACTCTGCAAATACAAATGGATTTATAATCAGTTTAAAAATCACTCGTTACATCTGTGCCCCGGGATGTGTTTCACATAGGGAGAAGCGGCGGAGCTAAACCGTGAATATGAGATGTCGTTACACTGCGCTGAAAGAGGTGTGGAGTTGAAAATCTCACCTTAAGGTCTTTCTCGTCGTGTTTTCTGGAGCTTTCTATCATGTAACAGAATCATGTTTGGCTAAGGGCTTTTAAAGAGTTTGTGCAGATATCTGAGGTTCATATTTCTGATTAAAATGTGTCAGGAAAAAGCCAGACTATGAACCACCAAATCAGCAGCCCGTTTATGAAGCAGTCTTTTAATTAGACTTTCTTCTGCAGAACTTTCCCAGAGAAAAGACAATAACTATGACAAAGAAACTGTCTGCATTCCCCTTGAAGGTGTAAGCATATAAGAATAGAGTAATTCATGTATTACCCCTGTATTTTTAACAATCCAAAGCCGAGACAGTGTATTGTTGTGCCTGCAGGACAAACAGTGTATGTGCTGGATAAGCCTGCAGTACAAAGCCTATTTCACAAGACAGAGTTTCAACATTGTTATTGGTTTCCCCTTCTGAAGAATACCAATGCATTTTATCTCTGTTTACAAACGGCAATAACAGTGGTGTGAAAATCCAGATTGAACATGTTGTATTGTGAGATTAAAGTGTGTGGTGGACACAGGTCGGAGGAAGAGGGGAAAGGGCTGGGAATGTGGAGGGGAGGCTGTACAATGGAAAGTACATTTATTTAGAAACAAAGCAGACAGAAGCGTTTACTGTACAGGAAAGGGGGGGGGGCAGTCAAGGAGGGGGAGGAAACTGCATGAAAACAAGGTGACGCCTACAGTGCTAACTCACACTGACTGGACTTGACAGGCAGAGATAAAGGCCGGAGAGAGGCGAGGAAAGTCCCTGAAACATTTAGCATTACACGCTGTTTGACGTTGTTTGCAGTGACAGCAGAAGATCGAGGAACTGTCATCTTTAACAAGATTATTTCTCGCAATGCCAAGGCAACTGCTTTGAAGATATTGTTTTTATTTTATTTTGGGCCTTGAATCTAGAATTGCTGAGTGAATTGCTGCACTTTAACCTCTGAGAAAGTGAACATTTAGAGGGGAAGAGCTTTGATATTGTGTTTTTGGTTTGCAACGGTGGAGAGGTAGGTGAACCCCACTCTTTTATAACTTAAAGCTAAACAGTAAAAGTGAATTCCGGGTTATACTCAATGCAGGTTGGGTTGTGTTCCTGCACAGCTATCAGAGCTTCCTCTCTGTGTGTGTTTTTGTTGTAGCAGCTGTGCTTCAGGGGGTTCATTTTAGTTTTGGCACTGAACCCGTCCCCTACATCGTTCCAAGTTCTCTGCAGCGCCAGTGCTGCTGTTCTTTGGCTACTTCACAAACAAATTAGGAAAAGAAGAGAATACCCTAAACATTTGGATTGCATTTTTTTTAATAGAGAGGACATGCTTCTTTAATTGTTTTTGCTCTCATTTTAATTTCACATTTTCTCTGGAGGTGGTATGATAATTCCTGCAACCCCTGCTGCAGAGGAACAGGGTAGAGATGATGTGCTGTTGCCGAGGTCATGGACAAATTCTGCTCTGTGTTCTCTGTCTGCAGCAGCAGGTGTTATGGATCTTCAGTGTTTCCTGAGCTGCAGAGTTGCCCTGCTGCTTTTCTTGAGTAAGACTTTTTTTTGTCATAACCCAGCATCTTAATGATTTCTGTTTTAAGCCCTGCATGAAACTGTAAAGAGAAAAACACATTTTTCTTTCCTGTGTGCAAGAGATAGCAAGCAGCCTTCTTTTCTTCTCTGAGAAGACAAAGAAAGCTCAAGGCAGCGATTAGATGATGCACAACGATTTGCCTGCAAAATATCTCTAGTTAAAACTGCATTTTGCACTCATTCCAACACTTTCATTATTTACTTCTCTTCTATCCTTTGCCTATGTAGTTATTTATGATTAATACTCCATGTGGTGTACGCAAAAAGACTCAGCAGGTCCAATGGAGTTTTGACACAGATTTTAGGATTTTGATGTGCTTTGATGGATATCGTATTAGGCATGGCTGTCGTGCACTATAAATCATCGCTTGACATTGTTTGACAAGAAGCAGCCATACATATTCATGAGGAACATGCCGAGGAGGGGATGAAGTGTTATGTCATTGTTTGCGCTAAAAGCATCCACTTCTGACCCAACAGTGCAGACCGTACAAAGGTCAAAATTATTGAATGTGGATCCTGCTTGTCATCTGAATATATATATACATACTGGATGCGGTTTGAAGCATGCATTAAAAAAAGGTTGTATGATGTGTTGTCAGTGCCATGTGGGCTCCGTTGTATATCTGTGCACATCCTCAACGAGGAGCCCATGTACGTCATCCCCGGCTCAATTCTGGTTCTGAATGCCCGCATCGAGCAGGGACCCCTGGAAGAGATCCTTATGGTGACCTGGGACCGGGAGCCTGAGTCTGGAGTCACTCCAGAGAGTGAGACACTGGCCACTTGTCCTGGCAGTGGCTCCAAATGTGCTGGTACGACGCCAAACGTCCATGGTAGCATGCAGCAGCAGGAGACGACACTTCAGATTAATGGATACAGCAGCATGGACAGCGGAGTGTACGCTGTGATGGTGACGGATCACAAAGGGGTCAAAACCACGGCACACTGCATCGTCAGGATGTATGGTACAGTATGACTGCAGCATGTGAAGGAAGTTATTGTCAAGTCTGTATACTTTGTAGACATTCCTGAACAACTAGAGTGAATTATGTCTTTATTGGCGAAGTGCCTTAACCCTGCATTCTCTTTATGGGTCAGCAGGGGGCGACTCCACTTCAAATTCAGCAATTTTTCTGCTCTCATTAGAGAAATATACGCTGCATTAATAACATTTTAAAATAAATTAGACTTATTTGTAGCACATTGCTGGTTTCTTCGTAAGATTTTTTTTTCTTGTTTTTTACACTTTTAATTTATTTGCTCAAATGATGTCCTCATATGAGGACTTCTGTAGCCTTCATTTTACTATAGATAAAATTAGTCAAATGTGTAAACCATATCAAACTACAAACGTCAATAAACATAAATTAACATGTTTCAATCATACATTTTGAGGAGGTTTTGTACCTGATCAAGTTCTCTGTTGGGGACGGCTGTAAAACATGCTAGTTTGGATCGCAACCATCCTGAGTTTACACTGAAGGCTGTAATACGCTTTTGTGACCACAAGATGGCGAACATCGAGGCCAACGAGCAGTATTATCAAGTATTATCAAAATGTTATGTCCCCATGAGGATGAAGAGTCTCAACATTACAGTATAAAGCTGTAAATGTGTTTTAATTTCACGCCAGCATGCATTGTTTTATTCTGATAGAGGATATCCTCATTTAGAATTATAGCACTTGAAATTACATTTGCTTATAGGCTTTGCTCTCGGGATCCTTCTTTTGTTTCCGCGCTTCTGCGATGAGTCTTTTCTCGTTGTCGCTTTTTTAGTTTCCTGTCAAAGCTTCTTTGCTTTCTCCCTCATCCGTCTGCTCTAACAGTATCAATTCATCAGCTCCGCGCTCCTCTGCATCTGCTCTCACAGCTTCCAGGGTTTTCCATCATCCCATTCTCTGACATTATGCCTCACTCTGCGGTCTCATTATTGTCTCTGAAACTGAGCCAGTTTCTCCTGACAGCCTTAAACGTCTCCCATGATTCTTTGTGTCGGACCCTCTTAGACAGCCCTCTGCCATTATTCTTATTTTATAACAGACAGAGCATCTAACGTCTACGCGAGTCTCAGCTTTTAACCTTCATCTTGATCACCTTTCCTCAATCCTACCTACATCTTTTTCTGTCCGTCTGTGCAGAGGCGGTGCACCATGTCTCAGTCAGCATCAACAGTTCTCACAGTCCCTCGCTGGTCTGCGGCGAGGCCTGGGGGACGGACCCGCACTTCAGCTGGCTCCACGAGAGAGCTGCCATCACTCAGACTGTGGGGACAGTCTCTAAAGATGGAACAACACTGTTTGTGACCATGAAACCTTTCTGTGGACACTTCACCTGCATGGTCAGCAACAAGCTGGGCTACAGCTCAGCCACCTACACTGCAGGTACATGATGACCCCGTCATGTTTTCTTTGTTCATCTTCAGAGCGTTTTTGTGGCTCTTTACTTTGGCTTTACAGCCCACAATATTACTGCTTTGGTTTCCTCACAGCTTCATAGTGAACAACCAGCCAATCCTGCACGGTAGCTCTTGCTAAACCAAAACAAAAATCTCCCTTTGTACTGCAGGTGGCTGTACAAAAAACCCAATGTACATTACCTGCCAATGCCAAATTGCAAAAACATGAATTAGCATTTAGCGGCTAATAGGTCAGATACAGTTCTTATGAATTGGTAGCAACCAAAACAGAGTTTACAGGACAGGACATGACATATGTTTTAATATGTAAATGTTGACAGCATTTTTAAATTCCATATTTGAAGAATTAGGATTCAAATTTAATCTTTAACAAAATTACAAATCCTAGATTCAACATTACACATCAGTGACAAAGAACCACACAGGATATTTTTCTTAATATATTAAAGAAGATCCAATCCAGCATCCTGAAAAATATGTGTACTTACACTTATAATAATACTTCTGCTAATTAGCGCTTGTGGATCAGTGGTAGAGTCGGTCGTCTCTCAACCAGTAGTTCAAGGTTTGATTCCCAGCTCCTGTTGTCACATGTTGACGTGTCCTTGGGTAATGAACCCTGAATGGGTTTAAATGGGATTATTATATACTGATGAACACTTTGCACAGGAGCCTCTGCCATCACTGTGTGAATGTGGGTGAGACCTGCGGTGTAAAAAGCTACTTTGAGTACTCAGAAGACCAGAAGTGCTATCAAGCTCAAGTGGATTTTTCCATTTTCAAACCAAGCTTTGAATGACAGGTGACCTTTCTTACACTGCTGAACTAATAGTCAAGCCCCTGGTCCTCTGCTGGACCATCACTGGACATTTCTTTTGAGCAAGTATTCACAAAAATCAATAGCAAGTGACATACATTGTTTGAATTGTTTCATTAAATACACGAGATGCTTGTCAATTTTTAAAGATCATTCCACATGTAAAGAACTGGACACATAATGTCACGAGTTGTCTATGTAACAAAACTTAACACAAATTGAGACCTTGTAGAGTCACTCCTGCACGGTAAATCTTGCTTAACAGAAAGAAAAAAGAAAAAAAAACTCTTCTTCTGCGTAGCTGCACCTCTCAAAAATAACAGACTGATGATGACTTTCACATCTTGTAATAGTTTCCCCTCTCTCTGGAAGACAATTTGTCCACAGCCGTGTTTGTGTTAGTGATGAACGTTGTGCAACATTGGGGATGTTGATTGGTGAGTGTTTTTATATCTCTAACTACAGGAGATGGTAATTTTCCACTCCTGAGCTTAATTTGTGATGATAGTGGTGGAGACATGAACATCATGAAGTCAATCACTGGCAGAATTTGAACAGGTCCAAAATAAACATCATTCTATTGCACATTGAGTACCCTGGACTGTGCATCTGTATCGTTACTTTTACTTTCATACATGATGAGAATCTTTGTTTTCTATAAGGAGTTTATGGATAAAAGATGGTTATGCCTGTTACATCTTACTTGAAGTCAGCCCATTGTCTGGTGTCCTAGATTTTTAGAAATCACACTCCTTGTTTCTGTTTTCAGCCGTGTCCTGAATTGCACTTTGTTTCCGTGTATTATATCACTGCTGGTGTTTGGGTGATAAAGGATTTTCCACGGTGCGATCAATAAATCACTCCCATCACTACTGCGACAGCTGCTATCACTGTTGCTAAACAGGCGGGACAAATGCAATTCTTTGTACCTGCCAAAAGGTGGGATGATCCAACAAGAGTGTTTTAGGATTCGTCCTGTTAGCTCCTGTTGTTTCACTCAGTTGAGCTGCTGAGAAGACATATTTCGGCTATTTTAGTTTGTATTTTCTCCTAATGGGTGTCTTTTTTCTGGTTGACAGAACCTTGTGAGACGAAGGACAGAGGGACCACAGCGGCCGTTGTGTGTCTTGTCCTCCTGCTGCTGGTCGGAGGAGTTCTGGCATTTCTGCTGTGGAGGTACAGGAATGCACATTTATACCAGCAGTCACAACCACAGATCTCCTTACATGCTAATGTCTTTTATAAAGCCATGTGAGAAAAATAACAACGGCAGCTGCTGCTTTAATAAAAACATGAAAAAAGAGTTTAAAATATATACCGAAAAATGCGACAGCTAATGTGAGTGCAAGACGTGATGCATGTTTCTCAACGAACAATGCCATGTTGACTCAATCCAGTGTCTCTACTGTTTGATCTTAACTGGACACTTGGTTTCTTTACAGAAGACACAGGCACAATAACAGAGGCGAGAGGCTGCACGAACATTTGGACGATGCCATCTAAAGGACAGCCGAGGACACGTGTCTGTTACTCAAAGGTCTCGGGGAGGAGAACAGGAAATGGACAGGGCTGTAAGGGAGGAACTACCCGTCCTGTGAGCAGTATGACCTTACGCTGCACTGAAACAATGTGAAGAGTGAACTGCTTACAGGCTAATAACAATTATCTTAAAATGGATATTGACCTTGAAGAGTCAGCATTGTTTTTATACACTGCCTCCTGCTGGACTGCACCTGTTACTGTGTTCAATTAAAGCCTCTGGAAATCAGGCTTCAAACTATAAAAATGCATTTATGATGTCAAAGATGGGAGTCTTTTTAGGCCTCCATAAAATCTGAATGAGAATAAACATTGATTACTATATTAAACCCTAGCTCAAAAATAGCTTTTTATTCTGTATTGACCATTTCTCAAAACTCTGGGCGTGGCCAATTTAACATTTGATTGATATCTGCCTGGCTTTTTTTTGTCAACACAATAATGATGCATGAGACATAAGTGCCATGCAGCACTTCACTGTTTGATTTCTCAGAGCCATCTGAGCTTGGATCAAATTAGAAAATAGAGGGATTTCTATGAGAAAACATTCATTTTCTATGAGAAAACATTCATTTTTACCAGATTGATTTATCTGATTGGTTGGTTACAAAAAGCTTTGCAAATCCACGTCATAGTCACCAGATAACATGTAACCCTTAGCTTAGATGCCTCTATTTAATCTGTGATTGCAGTGCTAAATGATGAACTGCTAAAATGACACGTTCCGGTGTTGCTTACAAGCATTACAGAAGTCCCTCTGCAGACACTCAACAGTAGAGTATGTTATTCCATTTGTTTTGTAGGTTTTTAGTGTCATTATGATTTGGATTTCCAGGGGCTTTAAATGATTTCTTTGTGTAATAAAATTCATAATAAAATCCCTTCATGAGATGTGACTCAGCTCAGTGATTCTGGAGTTATTAAATCAAATTAAAAGAAAAGGTTTGAGCACTGAATTCACAGGGCTAGTCTGAGCTTGCTACAGGCCAGGTTGCAAAGAAGTAAAATTGTTCTTGGATTAATTGCACAGCAGTTAGCAAAACAGTAACTCGGCATTTAATTATTCCCATAGAGGCTTACATTTGTAGACCAGTTCACAAATATAAAGAAGGAGAACCTTCAAGTTTAATTTCCTGAGATGCTATCAAGTGTCTGTAACTGAAAATATATCATGAAACAAAACTTATCAGGCAAGAACATGTGTGAGGAGGCTGTCTTTTAAAAAATGACAGATTCTACCTAGAGCCAAGATGACCTGATTGACAGGCGGTTAAAACCGGCTTCAGCTCCAGCTCTTAGTCTGTAGTTAGGCTGACTGAAAGCTCGGCTGAGACAACATTTCCAGCATGTCGACTGCCATCGATGGGACTTCAAAGTCCCCTGTAGTAACAGATGGGTGATGTCACTCAGGCTCCTTCATTAATATTTACAGTCGGTTTAAGCTCACTGTGATCCTGACTCACATTGAATTCAACTTCACACATTTTTATTAGACACTTTTATCTTGCCCCCCCCCCACCATGAAGAAACCACAAATTGTGTGTGAGACTTATCTCTCTGGAAATCATCGACACAGCCAATGTTAACTTTCCCAGCATGTTCATCACGCCCCATGTGAAATGAGCCCTCTAACCCTGAGCAATATTATGAGATATACTGGACCACATAGAGGAAGTGAGACCATGAGGAGCCAGAGGCCAAACTCAGGACAAATTGTATCACGTGTGTGGGAGGAAAAAGCAATTGAACATCTGCCATGAAAGTTAAGATGTGCCTCTGGGAGTTTTAGCCAAAGACTGCTTTCTATGCCAATAATTCAAAATGTATCAAAGAAAAGCCGCTCCATTTGCAGCTACAAAAGTCCTCAATATCGCCTGAAAAGTAGATACAGCTTTTAACTCCCTGTGGTTTCATCCCGAGGTGGAAAAAGACAATGATGAAATATTATGAGAATGGAATGAGAAATGTTGAGTGATATGTGTTGAATACAGATCACTCTAAAGTCAGACTATCTCTGAGGTTCCATGCCCCTTTAAATTGCACCTTTTATGTAATAACAGTTTCCAGCTTTGCAAATGTTGGAAATATAAAGAAATCTCTGAAGATGACAATGTGAGCGTAACAAGGTGAAGGATCATTTCTCATATGGCTCCCTCAGTCAGATTTGTGCCAACCCCCCCCCCCCCCCATTAGTACTGCTCCTATTGTACCTCAGTGCTCCGTTACGTTCATGTGCCTCCTGTCAGACTTCAGAGGAAGTGGAGGTGCAGGAGACTCACATCCATCATGTGGAGCTAATCCTGCAAGCTGCAGAACCTCCTCTAGAGCTGGATCATTCGCTCTTAAGAGCTTGTATCTGAAGGAGTGAAGATATCATTCAACAGTGGCAGTGTGGTGGTATTCCATAAATGTAAAATGATTAACCAATCAAGCAAGTTGATATAGTGAGCATTGATTGTGTAGCAAAGATAAGTCCTTGTATCGTCATGCATAAACCCATCGTAGTTTACTGTAAAAGGAAAAAAGTGCATAACACCATCAAAGCTGAAAATATAGCGTAATCTCCTGTTTTAGTTCTAGGGGCCACAGAAGCTCTGTCTGTATGGGACTTGGGTTGGAACCGATGAGTGGCAGGTTCAATTCCCGGTGTGGAGTCTGGAAATTGGTCTGTTAGCTTGAGAGATACCAGTTCACTTCCTGAGCACTACCGAGGTGCCCTTGAGCAAGGCACCGAAACCCCTCCCACCAGCTCAGGAGTGTTCACTCGCCATTAGTGGATGTCCATAGGAACAGGATTTCTGTGTAGCATGTTCAACAACAGAGTACATCCCCCTTCTATGATTAATAAAGTATAGGCTATATCTTATTTTCTTCTTTATTCCCAATGTCCAGCACTTCAGGTAAATCCATCAGCCTGCATTTGAAAAACATGAAGTACCAGTTTTTTTTTTAAATGTTATTATCTTAAGTAGGGCAAAAGTACTAAAGAGTTAATGTTATTTCCGTTCTATTCATTGGATTCGTGGAAAACAAAAGTAAGAGTAGCAACTAAAGCGGAAAAAACGGAAAAAAGATAATGAAGCAAAATACCTACTTTTGAACTGTTCCAGTAGCTCCACAAAACACATTAATTATATTTTCCATGCCAGTTTGGGTTGAAATGGCCCTGACAAGCTGACTGTGGAGAGAGGTCAAAAATATTAAACATCATTGACCCAGAAACTGTTCCTAAAACAGACCTGGTACAGCCACATTTCCAGCTCTGTGAGGCTGCAGCCTACTTCCTTATCTTTTTTTAAAAGTGAGCAGGAAAATCAACTTCAAATCTGTAATGATGTTTAAAAGTTCAAGGCTGTAAAGTGTATCCACACTTCCATCAAATCTTTAAAATCAAACTCAAATTGCAGTGTAATTTAATCCATCAAAACATTTAAAAGGAGCTACCATTCAAGCTAAATGCTATCGACAGCCTGCTAATATGCTAATAAAGAATTGTAAACATGTTGATGTTTAGCTATAAAGGAATGTTTATCATTTTCACCTCATATGTTAACATGTTAGCATGCTAACAGTTGTTTATTAGCGCACATTCGTTTCGCGGGTATTTGACGATAAAACGGAAATCGAAAAAAAAATTAATCCTGACCTGATACAAATTGCACAACACCCAAATGACTAGGACCCTAAATCTAAATCTGTACAAAATGTAATGGGTATTTGATAAATAAGTCTGGATCATCAACAATCAAACTGGTGTTAGCTTAAACGCAGCATTCTGATATTAGCTCATTTTCTTTGTTGAAAAAAAGCTGGACTGGGTACCTTTCCTATTTCTTATTTTTTTCTGGTTTTGCACAACATTCCCAATAAAGAAACTGTGTAAATAATTAAATCCAACACAGACTGCTGGCTAGACACAGAGGACTGACAAGTAAACAATAACTGAGGAACGGCAGGGAAGGGCTAACTGCTACAACGCGGCATGTGTCATATTCATACAGTCCAGGAAAGTCTGCCTGCTGATCTCTGACAGCTCAATATTATCTTATCACCATCTCCGCTCTCTCTGGTCTCTCTCTCTCTCTCACACACACACACACACAATAGCTGATTCAGGTTTATTTATGGCATGCATTGTACTCTGCAGCTTTAAAGAGGAGTGAAGTAATCCCCAACATCTCCATGAGAAACATCAGCAGGCCTCTCTTCCCTCTGTTGACCCCAATTATTCAACGTCTGTGTGTATACATTCAAGCTGTTTTTCTCTTATCACAGCTCTCGATTTCCTGCCAGAACTATACTTATTCATGCTTACAGAAAAGGAGAAGAAGAAAAAAAGAATGGGTTCTCTGGTGTGATAGGAAAAAAAGTTCAAGACAATTCTAAGAGCTGGTCATTTCAAAATCAAAGACCTTTTTTTTTTCCAGCTACCAGCAATAATTCAAGTTTTCAGGGATGTATTTGCTCTCTTGTTGAGGGTTAGATTCAAAGATTATTTGCACTCTCGTAGCCTAAATGTAAAGCTTTACAGCCAGGATCTGTTCTGATCGGTTTAGCTGAGCACAATGTTGGAACACATCGTCTATCATCATCTGATAGACGATGATTGCCTTTGGGATGCGAGGTTCAACCATAGATCATAAGTTACACAGTGGCTTCACTCTGGCTCACTTCAGCAGTATGAGCCTTGTTGGAGCCAATATTTGTATTTATTTGTTGTTGTTTTATCTCTAAAACTGTGGTTTTGTATCACCAGTGTAATTCTGGCACTGAACACTAGGTGGAGTCATGGTGCCGGGCATTAAGCCACGACGCCACGTTTGATTGACTCCAGTGGAATTGGAAGCAAACGGTTTTTTAACCATGTTGGTACAACAGGATGAGTACCTATATATTTTGAGTTTATATGCCATATTGTTCTGGATTATGAATCCAAAATTGGATTCCAATAAAATTGGTGCATTTCATTGTTTGTTTGTAACTGTTGATAAATTTATTTAAAATGTCCGAAGAGAAAAGTTGCATTGGACATTTATGGTTTGACCAGAAAATGCGTCTGGAACTTGTCCCACAATTTACTCTATGTTAGACAATATTGTGCTTGTTGGAAATTGATTTTCTTGTGATTGAGTTGCAACTAAGTTTGCTGAAATAACAACATGATGAGGCAGATTGCTAAAAATGTAAAAAGTCAAGCTTTGTCAGCTCTGTCTTCAGAGGAGAAGATAACTTTTAAACAGCTTGTTTGTTGAATAGAGGTCTGATCAATCAATTATGATGCTTTCAGGTAGTCCCTGAAACGGTTTGTTTTTCATGACACAGCGTTGAATTGTGGTACAGCTAACCGCATTTTTTCTCCCTCTATTTTGGGGAGTAAATAAAATGAAACACAATAAACTAGTTTTATAATTCGTAGAGTTATGCTAAGCTAAGCTAACTAGCTCTCAGAGTACAGTTTAAAACTGAGTTAAAGTGAGATTTCTCATTTATCATTACATATGTACGGTGGCCGGTAGGGGTCAAACGCTCAGCAACTGATGAAACGACATACATTTAGAAAAACGCGCAACATATATAGAAACGCTGCACATTCAAAAGCAAATGCAAACTACCACAATAAATGCAAAGGCTGAAACGCGCTGCAAAGACATAAACGCGCTTCAAAAGAAACAAATGTGCTGCAAATAGGCAAAACAACTGCATAAGCATCAAACGCGCTGCAAAATGAAACTTAAGTCAAAACACAGAAAACAACAGTAAACACAGAAACGCTGCAAGTCCTTAAATGGAAGTGCTCCAGGCCTGTAGGGGCGCTGTGGAACTGTTTATTTACGGGAGAGAGTGAGAGAGACAGCTAGGATCAGAAAGTCATGTTTAGATCGGGAAGTTGTATCGT